CTAGATTTTTTTCTTTCTTTCTCACCTCTAATCAAACTTTCCATTCTTCAGTTCAAAAAAGTGTTTACCTCTTCTCCAAAGATTTCCTAAGAGGCTCTTTAGCTCCATTCTGAAGAATTGAGCAATTCTCCATTATTTCTGTTAACTATTTCCTTCTTGCAATGTAATTATTTCTTTCTTCACCAGATTTCAAGTTGTTACCGAGCCAAGGAAGGCCTCTTACTGATCCTTCTATCATTCGCATTAATACAGTACCTGCTTAATAAAATTAAATATTTGGAATTACTAAATAAATCCTATCTTTACCTCTTAAGTATTGACTTGCCATAATATGCAGGTTTATCCCAGATACTACCTAACACAGTATCCTATGCCTAGATATTTCAAATAATTGACAAGCACTTGGCAAAACTTAGACACTCTTATTGTTCAGCCTAAATTCCCCAAGGTTTGCAGTTTTTCCTAGTTTAGTAACTTCCCTCTTTTCTTCTTCCTTTTGCATTATAAACTTGATTCTGGTAGAAGTTCATAGTACAGTATGAAAAAGGGGAAGAACACACCTACTTATTGTATTACCAACTACTTGGGAGGCTGAGGTAGGAGGATGGCTTGTACCCAGCAGTTAGAGACCAGTTTCAAAAATAATAAAATTAGGGGAAGACAATGGATAAAAGGGCAATAATGATTCATGGATTCATGACACTGTGTGGCATTTTATGAATCACTTTTCCTTTTTTTGGGGGGGGGGACATAAAATGCTGGAAATAGAACCCAGAACCTCCCTACATGCTAGGCAAGAACTCTACCACTAAGCTATACCCAAAGACCCTACAAAGCACTTTAGTATCCCTTATCTCAAGGAGACAAGGAAAGTGTATATTTTATTTATTATTATTTTAACTGGGGTGAGATCCCTGTGAAGCATGAAAACCCAATATAGCACCACAGAAGAAAAGCAAGGTACCCTTCCTCTTACACACTGCCTTCCTCACCCAGATACTCTGGGAGCCAAAACTAACTTCTCCTTATGGAAAAGGGAAAGCTGGAGACCCCCAATGGTCCCAATTTGCCTCTGCAGACAATAGCACAGGAGACCAAACTTCAAACAGTCTGGGGAGTTGCCTGTAGTTCACATGGATATATTGTCACAGAGTAGGAGGTCACATATTACATACACCCCTTCCCCAGTGACCTAAGCTGCTATGGCTTGGTGCCATTTGAAAACCAGACCTACTGCTAGAATGTACCCTTCCCTAGTAGTCAGAGTGTATCTCTATTCTTAAGACTGCACTCTTATTCCAGGATGCTCACAAAGGTGGCTGCAGCACTATGACCTCAGCTGCTCAAGAGTGTAAGCCCAGCAGAAAGGCCAAGACCCTGAATCCAAACCCACGTTGTGCCCCATCCCATGGGAAAGGACAGACTTGCACAGAAGGGATTAAACACACAGTTGTGGCCTGCATGCACCTACACCCAGCCCTTCGGCAAGCCAGGTGTTGGCTCCATATCCCTATAGCTGGTTGATCTAACAGAGCCAAGAGTACCTGTGAGTCACCTGACAGCCAGTCAGGAGTACCTGTGAGTGACCTGAGAGCCAGTCAGGGGTGGCCCTTCCCCACTGAGAACTTAACAAATGGTTGGCTAGCTCAGAGCACCTATATGCCTGAGTCAGGCCTGATAATCATTTAGAATGCAACCCCATACTTGATGAATTTGCCATAAAGCTGAATGGCCTGTAGCATCTCCATGCACCTGAGCCCATTTGATAGCCATCAGGGTGACTGCCCTGACACCCTCACCATGAATTTGCTTTACAGCCAGCTAGTCCAACATGTTCTCATGCACTTAGAACTGCCCAACACACAGCTAGGTGGTGCCCCTCTCTCCAAGAGTATACCAGATAGCCAGGCAGCCTGCAGCACCACATGTCCCGAGTGTAATCCACCACCCAGAAGATGGCCACCCTGCCCTCCAGAGAACCCATCATACAGTTACCAGTCCACAGTGCCTGCAGTTGCCCATTCTCAGCCTGAAAGCCAGTAGATGGTGGCCTTACCCTCAGCAAAACTATACCATGCCATACCAGTCATAAACACCCACACTCTCTGTCACTGACACATTGAGGATTACAACTGAACAGATGCCACACTAATGATTGTACTCAAAAATAAAACCCAATATACCACACATACTCTAGCACTAATCCACAAGAAAAAGCCTCTCTGTCACTGGCTGGAGGGAAAAAGTGGCGGTTGCACTATAATCATAGATATCAATATAAGGAACAAGAAGTATGAGAAGCAAGGAATAAAATAATTCTCTAGTAACAGAATTTCCCCCAAAGGAAATTTATGAATTGTCTGAAAAAGAATTAAATATAATGATCTAAAGGGAGCTCAGTGAGATACAAGAGATACAATTTAGTGAAGTCAGGAAAACAATTCATGATCTGAATGAGAAATTCAACAAGAAGACAGACAACATAAAAAAAGAACCAAACAAAAATCTTGAAAAATGAAAAATTCAGTGAATGAAAAACTTAAAAAACATATGTCAGATCCCTAACAATAGACTAGAGGAAGCAGCAGAAAAAAAACTTATGGTATTGAGGTTTTAACTTAGGGGTGCTCTATATCCCAATCCTTTCAATTTTAAAAATTTTGAAACGGGCTCTAAGTTGCCCGGGCTGACTTAAAACTTGTGATTCTCCTACCTTAGCCTCTAGACAGCAGCTGGGATTACAAGTATGAAGAAAAAAAAAATTGAACCTTAATAACAGATCTTTTGGTTTCTGAGCCCAGTCAAGAAGAAAAAGATAAAGAATAAAGAACGACTAAAGAAGAAAGAGCCTGAGAACCTATCAGACACTATTAAATAGACATCTGAATTTTGGGAATTCCAGAGGAAAAAGAGTTGTAAAAAGATACAGAAACATATGTAATGAAATAAGAGTTGATACTGCCCAATTCTTGGGAGAGATATGCACATTCAGGCTCACAAAGCTCAAAGGATCCCAATTATAAACTCAACCAAAGGGGATCCTCTTCAAGGTATATTATAAGCAAGCTATCAAAAGTCAACAACAAAGAGATTTCTAAAAGCATTAAGAGAAAAATATCAAGTCATATATAATGGAATCTCCATTCAATTAAACGCAGATTTATCAGCAGAACCTTTGCAAACAAAAAGTGTGTGTGTGTGTGTGTGTGTGTACACACACACACACACACACACAAATGGAGTAGCAAAAAAAAAAATCAGTCCTATTTATGACAGCTACAAAAAGAATAAAACACCTGAAAATAAATTTAAGCAAGGAGGTGAAAGAACTCTATGTAATGGAAAGCATAAAATACTACTACAAGAAATTGAAGAGAACACACACATAAAATGAAAAGACATTTAATGTTCACAGACTGGAAGTATTTATTTTGTTACAAAGTCCACGCTACCCAAAGTGATTTACAGATTCAATGCAATCCCTCTTAAAATACCCATGACATTCTTCAGAAAAATAAAAAGAAACCACTCCTTAAATTTGGGAGGTGGGACCAGGGATTGAACCCAGGGGTGCTTAACCACTGAGCCACATCCCCATCCCTTTTAATATCTTATTTAGAGACAGGGTCTTGATAAGTTGTATAGGGCTTCCTAAGTTTCTGAGGCTAGCTTTGAACTTCGGATCCTCCTGCCTCAGCCTCCAGAGCCGCTGGGATTACAGGTGTATGAAACTGTGCCTGATACTCCTTAAATTTTTATGGAACCACAAAAACCCCAGAATTGCCAAAGTAATAATGAGCAAATTTTGACTTCAAAACATACTATTTTACTGCCATCATAATAGTGTGATACTGGCATAAAAAGAGACATGTACACCAATGCTTCAGAGTAGAGAACCCAGAAATAAATCCACAACAGATTTTTAACAAAGGTACCAAAAATACATGTTTGAGAAAGGATGATATTTTAAACAAATGGTACTAGGAAAACTGAACATTCATTTGCGAAAGAATAAAACTAGGCACAAATCTTATATCACATACAAAAATGAACTTGAGCTGGGTGAAGTGGCACAGACCTATAATCCCAGTGGCTTGGAAGGCTGAGGCAGGAGGATCTCAAGTTCTAAGCCAGTCGCAGCCACTTAGTGAGGCACTAAGCAACTTAATGAGATCCTGTCATAAATTTAAATAAAATAAAATAACATAAAATAAATAAAATAAAATGGACTGTGATGTGGCTCAGTGGTTAAGCACCCCTGGGTTCAATATGTAGTAGAAAAAAAAATCTTGAAATGGATCAAAGATGTAAAACCCAAAGCTACTACAGAGAAACTGAGGAAATGCCTAGGACACTGGTGTGGACAAATATTTTTTGGATAAGACCCCAAAAACACAGGCATTAAAATTCTTCTGCACACACACACACACACACACACAAAAAAAACAATAGAGTTAAGAGACAACACATAGAAAGGGAGAAAATATTTGCAAACTATTTATCAGACAAGAGACTAATATCACACTAACTTATAGGTGACTTGAATTTACTTATCAATTTATAGGAGTTCATTATAACTAATTATTATAACTCATTATAACTAATATTCAGAATATATAAAAAACTCAAACAACTCACAACAACAACAAAAAAAAGATCTGGATATAAAAATGAGTTCTGAATAGGAAAAAAAAAGAAGATATACAAATGTTCTCAGGAACTATGTGAATCACTAATCATCACGGCAATGCAAATCGAAACCAAAAAAAGATATCATCTCACCCCAATTAGAATAGCTTCTATCAAGAAAAAAATAACAAATGCTCATAAGGATCCAGAGAAAAAGGACCTCTCATACACTGTTGATGGGAATGTAAATTGGTATAGTCATTAAGATACAATATGGAGGTTCCTTAAAAATTGAAAATAGAACTATGCATCATCCAGCAATCCCACTACTGGATATATATCTAAAGTAAATAAAATTAGTATGTCGAAAAGACATTTGCACTTCTGTTTATTATGATACTATTCACAATTGCTAACATACAGAATCTACCTAGGTGCCCATTAAAAGGCGAATAAATATAATAGATATGGTATATATACTGAACAGAATATTATTTGGACATAAAAAGGATGAAATTATATAATTTGTGGCAACATGGATGGAACATTAAATTAAGTAATATAAGTCACGCACAGAAAGATAAATACTACATGCTCTCGACTTGTATGTGAAGTCTAAAAAGTTTATCTCACAGGAACAGAGAATAGAATAATGGTTGCCAGAGGCTAGAAAGGATAGAGAGGAGAAAAGATACGGAGAGAAAGGATAATGAATGGGTACAGATGGGCAGTTTAGTAGGAGAAATAACTTCTAATATTCTACAGCACAATAAGGCAATACATTGACAACGGTATTTCTAAATGGCTATTAGAAAAATTTTTTGAATGTTCCTAACACAAAGAAACAATAAATATTTCAGGTGGTAGGTATACTAATTACCCTGATCTGTTTATTATACAATGTCACATATAATGAAATATCATTCTCTAACCCCATAAATATGTACAATTACCATGTGGTCAATTGAATTTTTTTTTTTTTAAAGAGAGAGAGAGAGAATTTTAATATTTATTTATTTATTTTTTAAGTTTTCAGCAGACATCTTTGTATGTGGTGCTGAGGATCGAACCTGGGCCGCCCGCATGCCAGGTGAGCACGCTACCGCTTGAGCCATATCCCCAGCCCACATTTGGATTTTTTTTTAATTTTAAAGAACTACTATGTACTCACTCTAAGCCCATTATTTTTGGGCTTATAAAATAATGTAAGTTCTCACAATCCTTTGAGGCTAAAAGAAAATAAAAGAAGCAAATACTATCAAAGACAGAAAACTGATGGTGGTACTGGAATCTGGAACCCAGGATTATCCTATCCAGTGCTACACTGTGTAATAGGGCAGTCACTTGCCACATGCGGCAATTTAAATTTAAATTAATTAAAATTTAAAAATCTGGTTCCTTTGGCTGCATTAGACACATTTGTCAGTGGCTAATCTACTGAGGAACCCAGATGTAGAACATTTCTATCGCTGCTAAAAGTTCTATTGTACAATACAGATCTAGAAATATTCATGGTCAGGAGAGTACTAGTAGTACAAGAGGGTGAACATCAGGATTACTACAACTTAAGTAAAATATTCTTTAGGGCAACCAATTTCCATTTCTCTGGTTCTCTATTCACCAATGATGAATACTGCTTCCACAAATTTCTGGTATCTAGAAAGAAAATGACTTTCTCGAAAACAATAAATTACATCGTGCTTGGTAATTAAAATTCCACTAAATTCATAAATTTGCTTTCTGGTTTAAAATAAGTACTAGTGGCATGTGTTTGAGAGAGGCTGAGTTTGCTTAACCCTGAGTGAATCCACAAATAGGGAAAGCCTTAAGTGGATGATAGAAAATGACAAAATGTGGAACTGGAAGAAATGTGAGACTACAACACTACCTTCTCTGACTTCCATCTTCTTCACCCTGCTCATCTAGGTGGGTTAATGTCCTTTCTTGTACAGTGTTCTGTACACACCTCTATCATAACCCTCAACATATATGTTATCTGTTTACTGAGTGATTTTTGCCATTAATTGTAAACTACTCAATAGCAGGGATTTCTCTTTATTCATCCCCAGTAATTAACATGATGCATTACAAATAGGAGATTCTTAAAATCAAATTTATCATGCAATAAGTTATATGGCACAATTTAGATTTTTTAGGGCCCAGTTAGTAGTTCTCTGATGAAGGTATGAATGTATCCACCTAAGTAAAAGGGGGTATTTTGAATCATAGTAATATCAAGATAATCTTGAGGGTGGGAGCAGGAGGAATCAGAGAGGCAGACGAAAAAAGTTCCTTTTAAGTTCCTTATTTATCACCATCACTCAAGCTAGATCTTCCTCATGGAGGGAAACTAATACATATTAATGCTCTACACAAAAATCACAATCCTCCCATAAATTCTATGAAATATTATCCTCACTTTACAAATAAGGAAATTGAACATTGAAAAGGATAGGCAAACTTTACAAATATGGAAATTGAACACTGAAAAGCATAAGCAACTTGATTACAAAGCAACCAAAAATAGCTAAGCAAGTTTTCAAGTTCAGAACTTTCTTAATACTTATGCATGTGATACAAATGGGAACAATGACTACACCCTTAGCAGAGACAACTCTTAAGAAATTAAGGTTCATTTAAGAGGTATGATTTCATCACAAAAGCATTGAAACTTTACTAATCTTTTATTTTCCTTATTTGGCTTTTCAAAAAGGGTGGCACAACCAAGCATCTTCTTTGATGTGGCTTTATAATTGTATCCACTTCCTCTGTATTCTGATGCTTTTCCATAAGAATATTCACCTTAATCCGACTTCTATTGCGAGGCTGGAAAAGTGGATATGCAATAACTCTTTCAAACTCTTTTACCTCTTTCTGTATTCTCTCTTGCTTCTCATATGTAGGTAGCTGGCTCTGACTTTTCCTCAAAATTCTTTCCTTGAGTTTTTGCTCTATAAGTTCTCTCCCTCGAATCATGCGTTCTTGATGATCTTTAATTTGCATCTGTTGTCTCTCATTTACCTGCTTTCTTCTCCGTGCTTTTGGGATGCTATGCTTTTCTGGCTTAATTTTTGGTAATATTGTTGCACTGAGGGGTCTTGGTTGTCTAAATGTTTTGCTTTTAAATTCTCTGGCCTGGCCTGTTCCATGTATGTGCCTTTGTATCTGTTTCCTCTCTCTCTCAGGTACCCAATAGTACTGTTTTTGTCCCTCTATGCTTTGGGTTGTTTTCTCCTCCATTTCTGTATTCATTTCATTGCCAGTCTTCTCTTCTTTCAACATTTCCACTAATCTTTTATTATAATAAGACTCTGCTTTGGCAAGCCAGTAGTCAAGAGAAACAGCTTGTTCCCTACAGAGTGTTTCATACTCTTCTTGACATTTCCTACTCATCAAGTGTCTTGCTGCTGTTGTATGCACGCCACCTAGATTCTGTCAAAGTGAGGTTCAGAATTTTATAATGTGATCATATTTTTCCTTTGAACATATTTAAACAGGAGCTTACCTTCCTTATTAATACTTGCTTTTTAAATTTACTTTAATGTAATAAGTTCAATATTACTCTCAAAAGTATAAAATATTAAGTACCCACCAATGATCAATAACTAGCTTTAAAAATACATAATGTTGGGAATCTTCAAAATGATATTTCACTTTGCAACTATGAAAATGTCTGGGAAACATTACTAGTGTGTAATGTTTCTACCTGAAGGTGTCACTGGGCACCTGAAGTTCCTTCTCTGAGTAGTTCCTAAATGTCTGATATAAATATAGCTTATTTACCAATATCTTTTTCTCCAGTGGAGAATGTTGATCTGCAGCAATCCTAGGGTCTTTAGATGCTTTAGCCCAAGCCAATCTGGAAGATTAAAAAGCAAAGATAGATTAGAATGTGGGAGATGTTAACATATCTACTTACATATTATCTGGGTCAAAGACCCTAAATATTTTGGCCAAGACTAGGAACATTTCTCCCACAAAGAGAAAACCTGCTAATAGGCAGGACTATACAGGCAGTGGGGAGCCAATGCATTCCTATAGTGGAGAATAATGAATGCTCTTTTTTTTTTTTTTAAGAGAGAGAGAGAGAGAGAAAGAAAGAAAGAATTTTAATATTTATTTTTTAGTTTTCAGCAGACACAACATCTTTGTTTGTGTGTGGTGCTGAGGATCAAACCCGGGCCGCACGCATGCCAGGCGAGCGTGCTACCGCTTGAGCCACATCCCCAGCCCAATGAATGCTCTTTTAATAAGAAGAGAATCTTTCCTTTCATATGAATTAAAAGCATACTTCTCTTCTGGACTCAATGTGAACCATTCTGAATCTTGTATCAGGGGTTTCAAGAGGGAAGAAATAGGCTCCTTGGTGACGTGTTGTCCAATTACACTTATTTCAGATGGCTCAGTCCCCTGGCCTCTTTTGTCTTTTGATATAATTCTAGACTCTGGTTTTATCAGTTCATTGTCTTTCCGCAGTTTCTTGAGCCGGTCCCTCTGTGCCTCTATCAGTACATACAGCATCTCTGCTCTCTAAAGTTTTGTACTGAAATTCTGTTTTTATTTGATGGTCCACCCCTCTGCTTGTCCTCCTTATGTTGGCAATCATCCTTCACCCTAAATGCATTACGAGACCACTCCCTGTTGAACCCCGCAGGATGGGAATTTACGGTTACTCTGGTTTACTTATAGGGCAGGCTGACAGCAACACAAGTGAAGACTACCAACTTTTTATGTGTTGTCTCTGAGTTTATGTGTCTAGCCTGAGTTTACTGTGAGGTCATACCTAAGCCATTGAGGATGCCTGATATATATATCTCTGTGCCCTTTATAGCACTGATGGTTAAAGGCATGGACATTAGAGGTTGACAAGGCTAAAAGTGAATCTTAATTCCATTACTTCCTAGTTATGTGACTCAGGACAATTCATTTAACTTCTCCCTAGGTCAGTTTCCTCATTTATAAAAGATATAAGACCAAAAACTACCTCTCGGGGTGATAAAAACAAATGTAAATTAGATGTAAAGAGACTGACATGATGCTTGATGTATAGGAAGTTCTCAGTAAATGGTAAATGGTAGCTATCTGTCCTTCACAAGTCAAGCCTCTGATTCTTTTAATATTTATTTTTTTAGTTGTTGATGGACACAATATCTTTATTTCATTTTTTTTATGTGATACTGAGGATCAAAACCCAGTGCCTCACGTGTGCTAGGCGATCACTCTACCACTGAGCCACAACCCTACCCCCAAACCCCCAATTCTTTTTTTTTTTTAATTTTTTTTAAGAGAGAGAATTTCAATATTTATTTTTACTTCTTGGCGGACACAACATCTTTGTTTGTATGTGGTCCTGAGGATGGAACCCGGGCGGCACGCATGCCAGGCAAGCGCGCTACTGCTTGAGCCACATCCCCAGCCCCCCCCCCCGCAATTCTTCATGAAGTCTTTCCGGTCTACTTTGTCAGTGATTTCCCTCCTCTAAACACTATTTCTACAGCTCATTTGAAAATCAACCATGATTTCCATTATGATGTGATATGACTTTTAATATTTTGATTTTGAAATTTAGGCTTATAAAAGATGGGAGCTATAATTTATATCTAAAAATATAATGACTTACCTATATTATTGGAGGAGATATCTAATATTTGGTCTCATTGATTTTTTTTGGTACTGGGGATTGAACCCAGGGGTGCTTACCACTGAGCCACATACCAGCCATTTTTTATATTTCATTTAGAGTTAGGGTCCCATCGAGTTGCTTAGGGCTTCGCTAAGTTGCTGAGGCTGGCTTTGAACTTCCCATCCTCCTGCTTTCAGCCTCCCAATCTGCTGGGATTACAGACATGTACCACTGAAACCAGCGGTCTCACTGACTTTGAAAGCACATTCTTTTTTGTCTATGTGTACCTAGCTTGAGATTTAATAAAAATGGCATCTTTCATTTTTTTGTACATACTCATACAGTACATATCTAATACAGTACTTAGTCTATAATTCCAAATTCTCAAAACTCTTGATTTGGTTGCTGATTACCTCATCACGTAATATCTAAGAATCTTTTTCTTATATTCACCATAATATTGTATTTACCTATCTTTTTATTAAAGCATTTACCAGTCTTCCTTGAGGTTTATAGACATGTTTGTTTATATGTCTGACTCAGGGTCTCCCATTTTGTACTTACTAATGCACTTTCATTGTGCTCTAATTATTCTTTTGTGTTAGTAAAAACACGTTTCAACTTTGTAGTCCCAGCCTCACTGAAAACCTGACATAGGTTTTCAATATTCACTATAACATTGGTCTACATCTTTTTATGAGAGCATTTAGCAATCTTCCCTAAAGTTGATGAGTGTTTATTTTATCTGTCTGATCTAGGCTCTCATATATTATACTTATTAATGCACTTTCATTGTATTGTTCATATGTATTTATATGGTACTGGGGATTGAACCCAGGGGCACTTTACCACTGAGTTATATCCTCAGTCCTTTGTATTTTTTATTTTGAGACAGGGTCTCACTAAGTTGCCCAGGCTGGCCTTAAACTTGCAATTCTCTTGCCTCAGTCTCCCAAGTTGCTGGGACTAGGTACATGCAACAGCACCAGGCTTCAACTGTGTTCTAAGTTCTCAGATTTCAACTTTGCAGCCCCAACCTCAGCTCAAAGCCTGGCATAGGTGTTTAACAAATAATGCGCAGATTGTAAGCTTTTGTTCAGAAAAAGCCATATCTTATAATGCTTGTATTCTTTTATTGCATTAGGCAAGTATTAAAATAGTGGGTGTTTGCTGGATATCAAACTATAAAGGGCAAGATGGTGAACAAGGATGACTAATTTCAATTTCCACTTTGAAAGGAAAAAGACACACAGAAAAGCAAAAATAAAGACTGCCTACCACTGAATGTGGTGGTCGCACACCTGTAATCCCATCTATTCTGGGGACTGAGGTGGAAGAATTCCAAGTTCAAGGTCAATTTGGGCAATTTAGCAAGACCCTGTCTCAAAATAAAAAATAAAAAAGACTGGTTACTATAGTTCAGTGATAGACGTTCTTAGGTTCAATCCTTAGTGTCATCAAAAAAGAAAGAAAGAAAACAAAAACACTTGCTTATCATCATGGGCAACACACCTCCTTTGTAAAACAAAATAACACTTCCAGAGTTAAGTGAATATGGGCTTGCCATTCTACAGTAGCTTGCCAAGAGTCTTAGCTCCTTCACCATGAAGTCATATTGCAGAGATATGTAGACAGATGTCTTTCCTAAGGAAATATCACAGCTTGTGTCCTTCAAAAGAGAAAACAGTAATGACTTCAGAACTTTTATATGAAGGAGCTTAACACTGCTATGAGATTGGATAGTGCTGGGAGGGCTGAAATGGAACTAGGAAACTCATCTAGAAGCTGCCCCATCGGGACAAGTTTCTATTTACACTATAGGCTAAAATTTTCTACAGAGACTTATTGTTTTATAAAAGGGAAGAGGAATGTCAGCTGCCACCCAAGGAATGAAAAGGATGATTCAGAGTTGGACAAAAAGAAAGTAGGGGAGGATGGAAGACAGTCACAAAGCAAAAAAAAAAAGTCTTATGAAATCCTACCAAAGGGGCGCTCTTGACTAATGCTAGCCTCCCTCAGCTGGCAGAACCCTAGGAGAAAGGTGCCCCATCTCATCTGTTCATTACCTCCAAATCCTGAGCTCCTTCCCAAGCGACCCATTCCATCTCTTATTCCTTTCGTTCCACGGGGACCAGGCATCTTCCTCTTTCTTCACTCTCACCATTCCCTGACCCTTAAAAAATGGACTCACCCCTTCCAAGTGCCCTGAACTCCCCCAAAAGAACACACGACGCACGCTGACTGCAGCCTAGGCTAGGCTAGGAGGGCCCAGGCAACACTACAAATCCCAGAACGCTTAGCTTTGTTTTTAACCACTGCGCAGTCTCAAAAGAGACGTGCCCGCTGAGGAACGATAGGAGTTGTAGTTTGCTAACCCAATCGAGTAGGTATTCGGTTAAAAAAAAAAAAAAAAAGTACGTTTTTAGGGGGACCACCCACCCCCGACCCCGTGACTAGGTCTCTTTAGGATACAAAGCAGGAAAAAAAAAAATCCCAGGACTGAGTCCTAGAGGTCCAGCACTGGTTCCTCGTGATTCTTACTTGACGTCACAGTTTCGGGCCGAACGTGGAGTGAGACAGCTACCTGTCGGAGAAGTTCTGCTTCTTCCCTAATTCAGGAGAAGGTTCGCGATTAATTATGACATCTGCGACTGATTATGACGTCACGGGCCAAGCGAAACGCTAACGTGTTGACGCTCTAGCACACCACGCGCTCGCTGCTCCGCAGTCGGCACAAAACCGGCGCTCTAGCCTACGGAGTTAGTGAGTCCCTTTGCCGGTCCCAAGAAAGGTCCCAAGTCCCTCAGTCCTTAACAGCCGGGGGAGTCCCGGCCTATCGGCTCCTTAGTCGCCGAGGCAGGAGGCGTGTGTGAGGGAAGGGTGAGGGTTCTCCATATCTGCTTTCTGGGGCCGAAAAAGAATGATCCCTAAATTGGAAGGAGTTTCCGCTTTATTGTTGGTTTATTAATAAACTTTGCGTTCCCTTCCTAGCCCTTGACCTATTTATTGTCCATCATGGACCACGCCAGTACCTGCTCTAGCTTTCAGTCGGACTTGGATTTCTGTCCGGATTGCGGCTCGGTCCTGCCTCTGCCCGGGGCTCAGGATGCGGTCACCTGTATTCGCTGTGGCTTTTCCATCAATGTGCGGGGTGAGAAGATCCTAGGCATTTGTTCCAGCCGAGGGCCCAACTTGGAAGGGTTGGAGGCTGGGGATCTCGAGACTGGGGGGGGGGGACCCAAGAGCAGAAGTCAGGCTCTTGTACATTTAGTCCAGGAAGGAAACGGAAAGAGGCCTCCGGGACTAATTGGGAGGGTAATTCCGTCCCTCGGCCCGGTTCTACAATTAGTTTTTACTGCCTGTACAGACTTTGAAGGGAAAATCGTGAAGACCTCAGTTGTATTTAACAAACTGGGGACAGCCTTGCCTATGTCGGTGGAGGAAGGACCTGAGATCCAGGGACCTGTGGTAAGTTACTCCAAGATCAAGGACTGGCTCCATAAGAAGAGTGGGAAAGTTATGGAGGTGTGATTGCAGAGATCTGGAGTTTTTGTACTCAATTCCATGAGATTTCCCCCCCCCCCTTCTTTCCTTTTTCCTCTCTAGCTTCCACCTATGAGAGAAAATATAATCATTTTTAATTTTTTGAGTTTGACTTATTTTAACAGAATGCCCTGAAATTCCATTCATTTTCCTACAAATGACATAATTTCATCTTCTTTATGACTTGAATGAATAAAATGCCATTGAATACATACACCACATTTTCTTCATTTTTTTCCTATATTGAGCACCACCTAGGCTAGTTCCATAATTTGGTTATTGTGAGTTATGCTGCTAAAAACAGGTATGCATATATAGCTATAATATGATGTCTTTAATTCTTTAGGATAGACACTAAAGAGTGGGATAGCTGGGTCACATGGTATTTCCAATTTCTAGTCTTTTGAGGAACCTGCACATTGATTTCCATAGTGGTTGAACTAATTTACAACCCCACCAACAGTGTAAAATGTTCCTTTTCCCCAATATTCTCATCAGCCTATTGTTTGTATTCTTGATGGCTGCCATTCTAACTGGAGTGAGATGAAATCTCAGTGTAGTTTTGATTTGCATTTCCCTACAGTGTTGAACATTTTTTCATATATTTGTTGGTCATGTGTTTCTTCTTTTGGGAAGTGTCTATTTTAGTTCATTTGCCCATTTATTAATTTGTTATTTAGTTTTTTTTTTAATATTAAGTGGGCTTTTTTAGTTCTTTATGTATTTTGGGTATTAATCCTCTTTCAGAAGAATAGCTGGCAAACATTTTTCTCATGTAGGTTCACTCTTCACATTCTTGTTTCCTTTCCTATGCAGAAGTTTTTTAATTTGATGCCATCCCACTTATTATTTCTTGGTATTATTTCCTGAGCTTTAGGGAGTTTTGTACCCAATTCTAAGAGAGAGCAGGTGTGGGGGGGGAGGTTTTTAGATGAGGATATCTGAGGAATATGACAGCTTGACTTCTGTGAAAGGTAGGGAGGTATGACTAGGCCTTCCTAATCCACCAGTTTCTCTCTAGGTTGACAGGCGCTGCTCTCAGTGTGGTCATGAGGGAATGGCATACCACACCAGACAGATGCGCTCAGCTGATGAAGGACAGACTGTCTTCTACACATGTACCAACTGCAAGTAGGTATCCTTTCCTCTCCCTCTGCCCGTTCAAACTCAAGTGAGACTTGTAGTACTAAACAATTGTTTTATTTGGCTCCATCCCTAATAGGGAGATTTGTGGCCTTTTAATTTTTTTTAAATGATACTTTTACCCCTTTTTATACTAAGTGAACTGAATCTTGTAAGTTATTTAAAAGGAAATTTTAAAACACAGGCAGGTATTGCTTGGTGATCAGTATGTTATGATGGAATCTTCAAATGCAATCAAAGTAGTTTTCTTTTGGTGAGAGACATGCATGAAGTAAAGAACATGGGCCTGGTGCATTGGCATTCTCCTGTAATCCCTGCTACTCTGGAGGGCTAGAGACTAAGACAGGAATTGAAGTTCTAGGCCAGCCTTGGCAACTTAACAAGACCCTAACTCAGAATAAAAAAGGGACTGGTGATGTAGCTCTGGTAAAGAGCCTCTGGGTTCAATCCCCAGTACTTAAAAAAAAAAAGAATAAGGAAAAAAACATGGGCTTTCTAAATAGTTTTAAGAAGTCCTCTTTGTCTTTGCTGTTCTGCAGTTTCAATACAGTATATCAGATATGGCTTTCTTTTATTTATCCTGTATAGTTTGGGATTTATTAGACTTTCTGAAGCTGAGAATTTTTCATCAACCTTGGAAAATTAACAGCTGTTATCTTATTTAACATTGTTTTTCTCCCATGTTTTCAATTCTCACTTCCTGAAGGTATAATATGTTATAAAATTTTCTCTTGTATCATCCATTTTTATTATCCTTCATATTTTATCTCATTTCTTTTTATGTTGCCTTCTGGATAATTTCTTCAGGTCCTTCTAGGTCACTAATTCTATCTTCAATTTATTTCAGTTATTGTTAGTTACTATTATTGATTTCTACTTAATTATTTTTTCAAATATCCTCATTTTAAAAAATTTTCACTCCTTAATCATATTCTAAACTTCTCCTTTTATTCTTGCTTTTCTTTCATTTTTTTTGATCCTGCCTGTTAACAACCCTTGCTCCTTTTTTTCTTTTTCTTTTTGGGTTCAGGGATTGAACTCAGGAGCACTCAACCACTGAGCCACATCCCCAGCTGTATTTTGTATTTTTGAGACAAGATCTCACTGAGTTGCTTTGCTGAGGCTGACTTTGAACTCATGATCCTCCTGCCTCAGCCTCCTGAGCCACTGGGATTACAGGTGTGAGCTGCCATGCCCAGCCACTCTTTAAATGTATGTTAAGTAACATTACACTTGTTTTTTCTGAGTCTGATAACCACAGTTCTTGTGAGTCTGATGCTGCTATCTGCTATTTCTGCTGGCTCTCTCAGTGCTTTTTTGTTTTGTAATTTTGGAATACCCCAGGGGGTGGGGTGACGCTGTATTCTCAGCATTTCTTTCTTCTTTTTTTTTTTATTTCATTTTTTAAAGCTTTTATTTATTTATTTAATGTGATGCTAAGGATCGAACCCAGTGGCGCACACATGCTAGGCAAATGCTCTATCACTGAGCTATAACCCCAGCCCGCATTTGTTTCTTTTTCAAGTGCCTTGAGGCATTACCAAGTGGGGATCACTCTACTTTCATTTCTGTGGCAGTGCTAGGAATCAAACTCAAGGCCTTGCCCATGTTAGGCAAGTGCTGTACCACTGAGCTACATGTGCCCAAATCCTAGAATCACTATGATAACTTCTTGGCTTCATATTTTTAGGAGCATGCAAGTAATATCAATTTTAGCTGCTTATTCATGTAAAGGCCAGCTTATAGAAGAAATTCTTACAATATTTTCTCTCCTCTATCTGTTGAGGCTGTGAAATTCCTTTCTTATGAACAGAAGTATTTAATAGGGATGAAACCCAGGGCCTTGCATATATTAAACATACTCCCTAGCACAGGCCTAAACCCCAATCTGAAGTTTTTAATTTTTTATGAGGCCCGGTTTATTTATTTTTTCTTCTATGAAGAGTGCTAAGAAAATCTTCACATTTTTTGATTAATAATAGATATTAATTAATTAATAATTAGATATTAGTATTAATCCCAGCATTTTCAGTTGTTTTAAAGTTGGAATTGGAAGATTGTTTAAGGGAGCTAGTTCTCTACAATGCACAAATAAAAGTCCTTTCCTGATTATTTTATTGATTATATCATCTCATATAACTAGAAACTCTTCCTTTGGTTGAATATTACAAGTCCTTTCTTTCTTCATAGGTTTCAGGAAAAGGAAGATTCTTGATCTTTTTTTCTGGGCAACTCTACAGTACATCCTCTTCTTCCTTAGAAGGTGAAGGATATTGGTTCTTGTCTATCTCCTCTTCAGTGTTTTGCTCCCAGAGAATAATCAGATCTTACATGGGGACTACCATTGGTCTCCCACCTACTACTATCCCAGTTGAATTTATTAAAGTTACATTTTTCTATAAAACCTGAATATATGTGTAATTTTTAATGTGTCTTATTTCAAAAGGAACTTAAATTAGCTTATTAAGGAGAAAAATACAAGGGCAAAATAATGAAACTGCAGGAGTGAGGCTAATGCAAAAAAGCAATTATAAGCCCAGCACATGCCTGTAATCCCAGGAACTTGGAAGGCTGAAACAGAAGTATTGCAAGTTTGAGGTCAGCCTGGGTAACTTAGAAAGACCCTGTCTCAAAAAATAAAAAGGAATGGGATGTAGCTCAGTGGTAGAGTGCCCCTGGGTTCATTCTCCAGTATTGTAAAAGAGAAAAAAGCAGTTTTAAGTATTCCCTAGGTCTAAATCTGTTTGGTTCCTGATTATAAGGAAACAAAAACTGGGGGTTTGGATAATGAGAGATTCAACATAAGATTTAACCAGATCTATTTGACATATAAATTTAACAGACAACAAAAAAATTAGATACCCAGGAGTTGGGCACAGTGGTGCACATTAATCTCAGGGAGGAGGCTGAGGCAGGAGGATTGCAAGTTTGGGACCAGCCTCAACAACCTAGGCCCTAAGCAACTCAGCAAGACCCTGCCTTAGAATTAAAAATGAAAGGGCAAGGAATGTGGCCCGGTTGGAGAACTCTCCTGGGTTCAATTCCAAATTACTGTCCCCCCCCCATACAAAAGATACCAAGGGATGCATGGGCATTTCGGAAAGTTTTATTTCATTGACTCTTGAGATTAATATACATTCATTGTAAATAGACTCATATAAAATGAAACAAAAAGTCGAATTCAAAGGAATCCCACTTCCCAGAGATAATCAATATATATGTGTTTATATAGGTATGTGTGGAGATCACATTTTTAAAAATGGGCTATGTAGTATACATGCTGAATTTTTCTTTTCCCCAAAAACTTTCCAGAGAAACAAATGCACAATACAAAACATTCAAATTTTGATTCTGGGAAACAGCATCTCTGCATTCTTCGATATAAACTATGACCAAGGGACAAGAGTAACAATGATTTCTTGTAGTTCTATGGTCCTTCATATATTCACAGCTCTTAAACATCACACTCTCTTGTTTGATTGATCCTCACAAGGTGCAGATGGGCAGGGCATTCTTCCTCACTATACATTTGACTGTTCTGGCAGTGGACCCCCTGACCTCTCTGGAAATTTCACAAAAATATGTTTCTACCCTACTTTAAGCCTTTCTATGGCTAGTAACAACAGGCTGGATAAAGTTCTCTTAGCAAAGCATGCAGGGCCTTCCATGAAACCACTGCTTAACTGTCAAGCCTAATATGGCACTCCCCCTACTCCCAGTAGTATTAAACCATAATGTATAGTATAAATCAATGTACACACCTACTACTTTATAAGCTCTCTACCTAAAAACAAAATATGTCTGCCCTCCGGTTTTTCTTTTACCACTTTCTTTTGCTCCTTGAAAAACGTGCACATATTTGTATAAAATGATATAACTTTCTCTGGTTAATGTAGAGAATCAGATGTGACTGCATTACTATTACTGTCCTTGATGGAGTCTGCCTGCAAACGGGACATTCTGTCAAGGTATAGATAGGTAACAGCGGACATGCTTGAGGTGTCTGTTGTCCTTGGGAGGGCCTGCTCGCAAACGAGAGGCTCCCTCAAGGTTTAGATAAGGTAACAGCGGACATGCTTGAAAACGAGGTGTCTGCTGTCCTTGGGAGGACTTGCCTGCAAACGGGATGTTCTGCCAAGTGGGCTAGGAGGGCGCTAAGAAAAAATTTATTATCTGTTTTTAACAAGAGCAGAGCTTGACATGCTCCAGGCCGAGAGTAGATTAGCCATGAGAAGTGGGTCACTTCTGATTAGAAAGTAAAACTTCTGTGTGCTATGTTTAATTAGCTGAAAGACCTGATTCATTGATGTTGGAAGGCTGCCTTCTTTGTTCACAATACTATAAAAAGATTGCTTGTACACAATAAAGGACTTTTTTTTTCTGCTGCTGCTTTGCTTGCTCTGCTTCTTATTTCTTTCTTTCTCATGCTGACCTGCAAGTGAATTACTGCAACAGGTTAATGTACTCTTTTCCACCCCAGAGAATATGTAAGCAGTATGTAGCTAAATTCACATCATTCATCAGATTCACTAATGTTAATATTCACTAATATGTTAATGCCTCCTCAGAGTTTTATACTTCGGTTAGTTTTGAGCATGCCTGTCTTTTTCACCAGACTGGGAGTGAAAAAGCATCTACTAGGCCATCTCCAAGGCCTAGTAGAATGGAAAAATCCAGTTTGAAGGTGTATTAAGTGCCCTCTGCTCAAACACCTACAGGCAGGGCGACAACTAGAATCCTGATTGCTTTTTCCAATTTTTTAGTTGTAGATGGACACGATATTTTTCTTTTCTTTCTTTATTTTTATATGGTGCTGAGGCTTGAACCAGTGCCTCACATATGCTAGGCTAGCGCTCTACCACTAAGCTACATCCCAGCCCCTGGATTGCTTGATTTTTTTTTTTTTTTTTTTTTTGGCGGAGTGTCGAATCCAGGTACCAGGAATTGAACTCAGGGCACTCGACCACTGGGCCATATCCCCAACCCTATTTTGTGTTTTATTTAGAGACAGGGTCTCACTGAGTTGCTTAGCGCCTGGCTATTGCTCAGGCTGGCTTTGAACTCGCAATTCTCCTGTCTCAGCCTCCCCAGCCGCTGGGATTACAGGCATGCCCCACCCCGCTCAGCTCGATTGCTTCATTCTTAATCGTGGGTTTCCAACCGCTCCCAGGTTCCATTTTTCGTTAAAGAAACCGAGAGGGACCAATAATGAAACGAAAACTAGACAAGATTCACTATTGCACCTATTCCCCGGGTCTCTCACCCACTCACTCAAGTTTAGGGAGGGGGCGGGGTGGGGTCAGCCACTAGCATCTCAATTCCGTGCAACAGCCCCCAAGCGACCCGTCTCGCCGCACCTGGTCCGCTGCGTCTGACCCAACCCTACCCCTCCAGGCGCCCCTTTCTGCTTTAACCCGCGACTGCCCTCTTCCCACACCCGCAGTGACGCCCCTTCCGCTGAATTTGTTTCGCCTTCTTGCAGCGCCTGCGCGCTGTCACATTAAGGCGGAACTAAACTGGCGACGCCTGCGCTTTGACGCATTTGGTGCTGGGGAAGGGAAATGCGGGACTGCAGAATGCGTCACACCCGGAAGTGGAGAGCCGGAAGTGGGGTTGGAAGGTTATCCCCACGGGTGGGGAAACGGAGGCCCTGGAGGAGGGGGAAAAAAGGAGGCCGAGGATCCTTGCTACTAACCTGAATCGGATACCGATTCTCTTAGAACCCAGAGACACAGAAAAAGGGAAGGGTGTATCATTCCCCTTCCTCCCCTCCTCCTTTTCCTCAGCCTTAACCATGGCGGAGGCAGGGGCCGGGCTGAGTGAGACCGTCACAGAGACAACGGTTACCGTGACAACCGAGCCCGTGAGAAAGGCGGGGGGCGGTGCTCTTTAGGGGTCTGGGAGATACCGGGAGGGAGGGCACAGGGCTTTCGAAAGGTGAAGGAGCGACTGGGCATGGGAATCTGGGAGGTCTGGGATTGAATATCTGAGGTTGAGAGAATCGCAAGGGATTGGGGATATTTGGAGTGACAGAGATGGTGCGGGAAGCTGTTGCAGAGACATGCAGTAGGACGTCATAGTTGGGATATAGGTGTTGCTGCTTGGGGTAGTGGTTTGTAATAAAGCGTATAAATGATAAAAAGGAAATTGTGAATTAAGGAACAAGAAAAGTGCTGGGAGGAAATGAAAGGTCAATGTAAGAAAGTATGGTTGAAAGCCAGCTGTAGGGGTATTTAACCAGAAGCATGCTTATTAATACATAGCTATTAAGTGCATGAGTATAAAAGGAAATAGAGGAAATGAAGAAGATGAAGGTAGTATTTTCAGAAATCAGAGGGGAGGATGTGAGTGGGAAAACAAGTAGTATATTTGCAAGAACAAGTTAAGGTGCTTTCAAAGGAAGATAATTGCACTGGGTTTAATCTCCAAATTAAGGGAGTTAGTAATAATTGTTATTAAGGATGAGAGGAAATAGGTGGATAAGAGATGGGGAAGGTGGGCTTGGGAATGAGTGAGGTAAGAATGAATGAAGTTCCTCCTTCAATGGGAAAAGGAATAGGGGAATCTGGAGAAAAAAAAACAAAGATTAGTCACTGGGGACTGAAAGTAATTTTTATGTACTAATACCACCAAGGATGATATGGGCAGAAAGTCAGAGAAGCAACAAGGATGTATTTTCCTTTGAAGATTTGCTGGGATCTTCCCTAGGTTAGAAATTGTGTCTTCTTTGTATACTGATGGTTATTGAGAACAGGAAATTATATCTATTAAGGATGCCCTGAGGGCAAAGACCTGTTCTATTTTATTTTCTTCCAGTACTTGGCTCCTCTGGTGCTATATCTGTGGAACTGATTGAGCTAGGGAAGAAAAGAAAGGAGATCCTCTGGGAGGGAATAGGAAGTCAGTAGGAGACTAATATGTATGCTCATGCCTCTCAACCTTAGGAGAACCGGAGTCTAACTATCAAACTTCGGAAAAGGAAGCCAGAAAAAAAAGTGGAATGGACGAGTGACACAGTAGACAATGAACACATGGGACGCCGTTCATCAAAATGTAAGTTATTGTGGGCTCAGAGGAACCCTAGAGTTTAGATTTCTTCCTGTATATCTACCTTCTAACATCCACTGGCCCCAGATGCTCACAATTCTGTCACTTTCTTGGTGATTCTTTTGGTGGTTTTCAGGGAAAAGAGGTTAAAGTTAGAAGGAAAAAGGCAGGAAGGGGCTAGAACAGTGATATATCAAGGTCTGATGGCAAGAGGTATAAGAAGTAGGAGTAGCAGGGTTTCAGATTCTTGTCTGTCTAAAGGGGCCAGGGGCAGTGGGGTGCACCTGTTATCCTAGCAACTCAGGAGATTGAGAGGCAGGAGGGTTATAAGTTTGAGGACAATCTCTATAACTTTAAGTAAAACCCTGTTTCAAAAAAAAAAAAAAAAAAGGACTGGGGATGCAGTTCAGTGATAGAGTCTCCCTGGGTTCGGTCCCCAGTACCCCCAAAATAAAAGGGGTTAGTGCCTGAGTCCCAGGGAATGGGCCTGGGAAAACTGTATCCTAGAAGGTAGGAGGAAACAGAGGTGGAAGTAGGAATTTTCAGAGATCCAGTAGGAATGGCACTGATTGAACATCTTATTCTTCTTTCTTTTTAACTGAGCTCCTCCCTCCAAATCCAGGCTGCTGTATTTATGAGAAACCTCGGGCCTTTGGTGAGAGCTCCACGGAGAGTGAGGACGAGGACGAGGAAGGCTGTGGTCATACACACTGTGTTCGGGGCCACCGCAAAGGACGGAGTCATGCAACCCCAGGACCGACCCCTACTACCCCTCCTCAGCCTCCAGACCCCTCCCAGCCCCCTCCAGGGCCAATGCAGCACTAAATTCCTCTTTCCCCCATCATTCCTGTGTCTGTCTGGCCCTGAATGTATCCATGTGGCTACCTGGGGGCTAAATCCATGGTTTGATTTCTTCTTCAGCCCCCTCCTTCCCTTTTCTTTGCCTCATAGAGGGAAGAAGTAGAGGAGGGTGGACAGAGATCCTGGAATTCTGACTTGCTGCTATTCCGGAACCCAGTCTTCTGGGTTCTTCCAGCCCTCATTTCTCTTTCCAGTCCCATCCTTACCAGGGATCTAGGCATCTTGGTCCCAGTCTCTTTCCTTTGTTCTTACTGCCAAACTGCCTGTCCTGGGATCCAGTTATCTTGGCCCCTCGCACCCTCAATTTGAGTCCCAAACACTTAAACTGGGTTTTCAGTAGTCCCAGCTTTCACTGCCAGGGTCCCAGTCAGATTCCAGGCATCTCACCCCAGCTGTGCTTGTTAATCTTGGCTTAGAGCTTTTCCACTTATGCATTTATATAATCCCTAATCTTAGTCCTTGCCTATAGGATATGAGGTCTTATGGGACACTGCAGGGCTCCCAAATTTTCCCCTCGTTCCTACCCCTTCATGCCCTCAAACGGAGTTAGAGAAAGAGGTCTTTGTCATTCTCACTTCTAAGGGAAAGTGGAACAAGAAAGTCATGTCCTTTGTCCCCACCCTTTTCATTTGATGTAGGATTTTTGACAGAGATAATTTGATATTGGTCACTTAGAGCCAACTATCTTTTCAGCCTTTCATCCTTTAGCTTCAGAGCCATCCAACATATCCCAGGGGCCTAGGACCCTGGGAGAGGAAGGAAAAGGGAGAGAGCAAACAGATGGGGGTATGTACCCTGTATTACACTCCTACCCCTTCCTTCCTAGGCTTTGATGCATCTGCCAACCCAGATATCCAGCTCTCTCAGTCCTCCCCACCCTTCACTGGGACCTGGTTATCATTTTCCAGGTCTCTTGCCATGCACAGTTGCAGAGATCAGTCAAATCCATATCAGCACTGAGATCTCATTTATTGCCACACATGCACAAAATAAATAACCCAACATCACAAAATGTGTTAAATACAGGCCCATTTATACATGGAGTGGAATGATGTGAGACTATGTATAAGGATGCATTTGGGGATGTCTGGGTGTCTCCCAGGTTGAGAAAAAGAGGGGTAGCACCATTCATTCTTTTTTGTGAGTATGTGCAGGGGAAAATTTTACAAAGGGTTTTAATAGGCAAAATTTGTGAGCACAGAAAGCAGTCACAAAAGGAAGGTAGAATAGAACTGGCTTACACTACCCCCCCATCCTGAAAAAAAAGTGGGTGTGCTATTAAGCTTCCTAGAGGTCCCTAGGGCCTAACCAGCCTCAAGCTTCTTGTTTTAGGAAAAGGCTTTTTTCTCTCTTGAGGAGAAACCTCAAAATGGACAGGACCAGGAAGCACAAGCCTTCCAACAGTGGAGAAGGCACTGAACCCTTTGAAGTTAAGAAAGCCAGGACCTCTGTGTAGTAAATGTGGATGGCTCACCAGTACTTAACAAGCTGAACCAATTCCACAATTGAGGCCTAGAATAGTGAGAAAGGGAGAACTAACAGAAAGTACTGGAGTAGTGGGGTGGGGGATATTCCCCAAGAGAAAGGGGGCAGGAGCTATTGGATTTGGGGCCAGGATGTGAAAGCCTAGAGGCCTGGTAAGGTTTGTGGGGATGGGGATAATGAGAATTGGTGATGAGTGCTTATTAATACTATTGCATAGGCTTATGAACCCGTTTCAGCAACTAGAGGAAACAGCCTCAAAGTAGCTGGTCCAAACTCAGGGGCCAGGAGGGAGGCTCTCAGCCTTCTCCTGGCACAATGCGGAGCGGGGCCCGGGGATCACAAGTGCAAAGCAGAGGGAATACGCGCTCCCCCAGGGGTCCGTGCGCCTGGAAGGCGAACAGCAAGTCCAATGAGCGGCCGTCGTAGAAGGCCACGCGGCCCCGCTCCCAATCCAAGTCCACACGAATGCGCTTTGGCGGTGGTCCTGCGCCACCCAGCAGGGTGGGCTCCGGTGCGGTGAGGGCCCACAGGCGGCCGCCGCGGCCTTCCACTGCCCACACGGCCTCCGCTGGGCACAGCCTGATGCGGCCTTTGCGTTGCACCGATTCCCCGGCAGCGCCCACTGCATAGCAGCTCTCCCCGTCGTCCTCATCCTCTCCGGAAGAGTCTCCGTAAGAGGCAGCATCCGCGGTCTCCACTTCCCAGCAATGGCGGCCGGCCCCGAAGCCCTGTGCACCTAGTACCGCTGGGAGCTGATCGAAGCGCGCGGGGCCATCCAGGGGTACAGGGGTTCCTGGTGGGGCCAGTCGGACGCTGCGACGGTCAGTGGAGATGAGCAGGCGGCGGTGTGCGGTGCCAGGGTCCAGCGTCAAGTCGGCTGGAAAGGAGGAGGCGAGGAGAGGACTATGTGAGAGGGTTTTCTAAATCCGGCGGGGTAGCGCAGAGAATAGGCAGTGGCCGGTACACAAGAGACTGTTGAAGACCCTACAAACGAGGTCAAAAGGAGGCTGCAGGACCAAAAAGGATAAAGGCTTATGAAGAGCAGGCCTGGACAGGATAGGGACTATGCACAACTTCTGTGGAATTGGTCGTGAGGAAGGAACATGTTAGTCCAGGGAAGGAGGCACAGCTCAAAGAGCAAAGGGTTCCCTCTGATTTGTAGTGTTAGAGAAAGGAAGGGTGAGACTGACACGATTACATGGGAAGGAATGAAGACTAATATTTCAATATGCAGCATCTGGGGTGGGGCATAGGAGCTGGGTCAGCAGAATAGGGAAGGTGGATCTAAAGAGAAAGACTGATAACCTGATAGAACCCCAGAGACAAAGGGGAGGGGCAAAACGAAGAATCCAAGGTATCCTGCAAAACCAGGCCACCCACCCACAAGCATAGGTGGGGGTGGACAGGCCTATTTCTTTGGGAGGTGTGTTGCAGAGGAGAGAGAAGGAGGTGATAGCCAAAGGGATCAGGAAAACACACACACATTGTCTTGTATGTATGGGGTGCTTTGAGGGAAGATTTCTGGATTGGGGTACTAGAAGTAATTGGATTAGGTGAGATGATGGGTGACTAAAAGGATGAAATATCTTCTCTAAGCAATTGAAAGAAGGGTGGAGAGCAAGGAAAGAAGGGGAAGGAAGAGGCTCTGTAGAGAAGAATGATATGAAGTGGTAGAAGGAGAGATTCCTGGGAGGCAGCTGACTTCCTGGGTCTGTTTGAATGTATGAAAAAGGAAGAAGAAAATGACTGGAATATGAAGAATTGAGGACAGATACTCTTCTGGGTTAAATTGTACTCCCCCCCCCCAAAAAAAAAAAAAAAAGGTATGCTGAAGACCCCAATATCTTGGAATTGGCCTTATATGAAAATAGGCTTTTTACAGAGGTAATAAAGTTAAAATGAGGCAGTTAGGGTGGGCCCTAATTCAATATGATTGCTGCTTTATAAAAAGGGAAGGAATTTGGTCACAGACAGATGCATACAGGAGGAAGATAATGTGCTGACCATCTCTGAGCCAAGGAATTAGTAAGGCCATGAGAAGCTAGCACAGACATGAGGAACAGATTCTTCCTCAGTCCTTAGAAGAAACCAATACTTCTGACACCTTGATTTCAGATTTCTGCCTCTAGAATTTAGGATAAATGTCTGTTGTGTAAGCCACAAAGATTATGGTACATTGTTATAGCAGTCCTAAGAAATAACCATTTTTGAGAACTAAAAGGGTACAAAGTTAACACAGACTCTTATTCAGTTCCCTCCCTACATTCTTCCTTACCTGTCAGTCTGTGAAGCATGTTTTTGACCACTGGATAATCATCAGGGAGATCTTCCTCTGAGTTAGACAACGTGGGTGCTGGGGCATCAAATCTGGACAGATAACACAAAGAGTCAGGAAATCATTAGACACTCCTCTGCTTTCTGATGCTGATTCTGAAGTCCTTACTCCTAACCCACTCAGTTCTCAGGAGCAGAAATAGATGAGGCCAACACCCCAGAAACACTGCCTATTAGTGGGGATAAAGATATGGGCCCAGTGGTAAGGTGATGGCTATGACTGCTGATAGTAGAAAGGAAGAAAGAGTAAACGTGAAACTTACCGCCTCCACGTCTTCCTAATATCCTGGGATGGGCAAAAGAAAACATGGATGTGAGCTCTGAGTTTCATACTGTGGGGAGTCCTCTCCCTCCTCCCTGCTTCTCAGGGGAACTCTAAGTGGGTAATATTCCTCCCCACCTCTCAGAGTGATCACCTTCTTTTCCCCCTGTGCCCCCACTGTTGCCTTCCCCCTCTTTATTCCACAAAGGTTCTCAATTCCCCTTCTCCAGACTATTTCTTGTCCCAAGAGATCTTACTTTCCTCATTTGCCTTCTTAGTTCCATTCTCTCTTTCACTAGTGCTATCCTTATCACCTTCCAGAGTGTATCCCAGATAAATGTCCACCCCCACCCGCCATCACATGACCAAATACACACCCAGAGCCCTTGAGCTAAGAGTTGGTATATAAAAGCCTTACAATAACGCTGCTTCCCATCTTGCTATAAAAGCCCAGTGGCGTTTATTGGGTCCTTCGCTTTGTGTCTCCACTGTGCCAGGGAGGCAACTGGACTTGGAGGACCTGTCCCAAGAGGCCCAATAGATCTTGCAGAGAATCATGGGAGCCAGAAGAGGGCGCTGGATCCCCTCCAAATAGTGGGACATTCCCCTCCCCCTCTTCACTGCCCAGTGAGGATGGCTGGAGCAGGCTGGTGTGGTGGCAAGGGGGAAAGAGAAGAGGAAAGGCAATTTGCCTAATTATGCCAATTACACCAAGACTAATTAGGTCTAGGAAGACTTCAAAGGGCGGAAGCGAGACCCAAGACCGGCTGGGCTGCTGGGGAGAAGCCAGCCTCAGACGCCTGGGGGTCGAGCAAGGGAATGGGGTTGGTTGGTGGCCAAGGAGTACGGGGCTAGGAGGGGGTGCGGAGGCGATAAATAAAGCTGGTGCGTGGAGGGAAGCCAGAGGCCCCAACGGCTGTTCTCCCGGACCTTGCCTCCACCTGTCGTCACCCCTGCCTGGGGATCTGGGAGGAGCTGAAAACAACAATAACAACAACACACATCTAAGGTCTGAGGAAGGGGCCCAACACTAAAGGGACTGTTGATCTGCTCCCCCTCCTTTCTCCGTCCTTTTTATCAGTCTCCCCCTTTCCCTCCCATCCACTCCGCGTTTTCTCCGCCTTCTTCCACTCTCGCCTTCTTCCACTCTCGACGCTCGTTCTGATATCTTTTACCATCCTCCCGGGCCTCCTATTCGCGCTAGCCCGGGTCACTTGCCCTTCTGCAAACAGGATCTCTCCCCTCGGCCAGCTCTGCTCCTCCTGGACGCTTTGGAGTCCCCGTAATTCCCGTACTCTTTGCATGGTCTCGAGGGGTCCCGTGCTCTGTATACTACCCGCCTGTCTCTTCCTGTCCAACCTCTTCTCTCCTGCTCCTTTCACAGCATCTGTCCATCCTCCTCCTCCGAACAGTGTCAATCCCTTACCATCGTCCTTCCCGGCACCTCTCACCTTGAGGACCGGGTCAGACCCCACCTCCTTATTCTTTGCAAGTCTCTCTCCAACTTCACCCTTACCTAAACTTCCACAAGGACTCTGGGGTGCCAAGTGCCGTTCCCGCCTTTCCCAGGGAACTTATGAGCCCTCTCCCACCCCATTAATAGCTGGTGACCCTCGAAGGCACCTACCTCTCCGTGCGGGTCCAGGCAGCCCATGGTTGGGATACGGCCTCCTCGGCGCCTTCCCAAGCGGGCGCCGGGCTCGGCCAGCTTCTCCCGCAGGCCGCGGCTGATCCGTACCTCCACCGCCAGCCGCACATTAGACCTCAGGCTGCGGCGGGGACACGGCAGGCCGCAGCAGGGGCAGGCGGTGGGGGACCCCTCAGTGCCGGTGGGCGGCGGGTTCCCCCAGCAGCGGGCCAGGCACGCGCGACAGAAGCTGTGCTCACACGCCAGAAGCACTGGGTCCTCGAAGGGGCCCCCACACAGCGGACACGTCGCC